TTCCTCACCAAACTAGCCAAGATGTCACCTTCAAGGGATACTTTATCAAAAAAGTCAGCTGCTGTACCTAAATATATTTTAACATCTTGATTCACTTCTGATAACCTGAACTGGTTCTGTAGATATACATCTACATGAGAAATCTTCTGTTTCCTACAGGGAACTATTGTGTTTCCCCTTCTCACCTCTGTCCTGTATGATGAGAGTGAATGGGAGAGCCCACACACTTTTAACCCTTCACATTTTCTGGACAAAAAGGGTCAATTTGTCAGGAGAGATGCCTTCATGCCCTTTTCTGCAGGTATGACAACTTTGTCAGGCTTTTTTGAGAAAATTCTCACTAGCGCAGACATGATTCATTTAAATGAGTGCAAACTCTTTGCATTTACAGGTCGCAGGATGTGTCTCGGAGAAGGTCTGGCTAAGATGGAGCTCTTCCTCTTCTTCACCTCCCTCATTCAGCGCTTTCGTTTCACTCCTCCACCTGGAATTACAGAAGATGAACTGGATCTCACACCAGCTGTGGGATTCACCACCCCTCCTTCATCTCATATGCTGTGTGCTGTCAGTCGCCAGTGAGAGACACATGGAACTTGACATTATAGCGTTTACTTGTGACAGTAGCATAAGCAATAGCATCAAACAGATGTCAGCATTCTGAACAACAGGCAAAGGCAGATGTCAAGGGAACAGATTTTTCTGGCTACTTTTTAGTTTTACTCCCTACAGTTTCAAACAAATATCTGTACTTTCTACTTATTACGTTTTCAAAACAGGCTCATTACTTTGGCTGTAATGCATTCGGGGGGAGTTATTATCTCGTCACTGCGGACCTTTGTTTGTTTATTAATCACCAGTGGATAAAAAAAGATGACATGTGTCAAAGTCAGGGATTAAAAGTGATTGTTTTTAAGCGTCAGTTAATTTCCAGTGCAACTTTCCTCTCAGCTCAACAAACATCACAAACACACAAAGTGTTTGTGTGCAGTTTGTTTCAAAGTGTGTTGCTAGCTAAAGGTCCAGCTGCTGTATTTCACAGGGAGAGAACAGAAAGAGAGCCAACTTCACTCAGAGATGGAGAAAGATAACAAAGACGGGACAGGAGAGGAAGAAAAGAGGTTAGATTCAAAGGCAGTCAAAGACTGCTCAGCGGTATCTGATAAACTGGAAATTTAAAGCTTACATGGAAGTCATGATGTTTTTAAATCAGATGTTGTACATTTGTACATGTGACATTAGGCTTTTTCATGTTGTGAAACACGCTGTGAAACAAACTGAGGTAGACTAACTTTATTATCTAAAGGTTGCATGAAAACCTTGCTGTAGGTTAGTGCAGGATAAACAGGTTAGTTTGTTGTACAGTGAAAAGTGAAGAACACACTGGTCTTTAAGGACAGTGTGTGACTGGTGCACAGTGGCTGTGGTTTCATGGTCACAGTTGGGTTACATCAAGCGTAAGAGTCATCTGAATTTTAGCTGATGATGCTGAGATCCATTCACCGAATTCCACCTTCCAACTTTATACCATCTGAAAAAAGCCAGGATAAACAGTGTACTGTCAGTGTAGAGGATGGAAATCAGCCAGGACAACTTATGACACATCTACTGACATCTGGTTGAATTCAGTTGTGCACATCCACAAAGAGCAGCTATCACAGCCTGTACACTTAGACAATCTCACTGTGCCACTGTGCACCAATTATTGTTGTCACAGTCCTGGGTCGGTGATCCAGTGTTTTGTGTTTTGAATTATTAATAGTCTTTGATTTCATTGTTATTTAGTTTCTTGTCTCTTGATGTCTGTCTATGTGCTTCCCCTGTGTTCCTTGTTTCACATCTGATCGAGTTTTCATGTCTGTGTTTCTCCTGGTTTCAGTGTCAAGTCTGTGCCTCTGTGCCTGTTTCCTGTTTCCTGTTTTACTTTTACAGTCTCGTGTGCTATGTTAGTGTTTTCAGTTTTGTTTCCCCGGTCTC